GGGGGGGGGGGGGGAGGGGTGGAAAATGGTGGAAAAGAATGGAGTTTAAAACAATGTCAGGTATCTGAATCAAAGGTCTTCCTATTCGTTTTTTCATTTAGCAACAAGACTCTTATTAATAAAAGAGCCCGGCTGGTGTGGCTCAGTGGTTGAATATCGACCTATGAACCAAGAGGTCATGGTTCGATTCCAGGTCAGGGCTGGATCCCCAGTGTGGGGCGTGCAGGCGGCAGCCGATTAATGATTCTCTCTCATCATTGATATTTCTATCTCTCTCTCCCTCTCCCTTCCCCTCTGAAATCTATAAAACATCTATCTTTTTTAAAAAGAATTTCCTCAAGACTTTTAGCTCTTGTGAGCTTCCCGTCATGGCTTCTCAAGCAGCTGGCACTGCCCGGCCACAGGAGTAGTGGGGGCTGGAGCAGGAGAAAATGGAGGAGAGGGAGCAAGCCCAGTGTACCTCCTCCACTCTCTCTGAGCTTCCGGAGTCTCTTTTTCGCATCTTGAGCCAAAGCAAAGGGTTTTTTCGGGATCTCTGTCAATCTACAGTAACATAGTGCCTGCTTCAAGGTTTCAGGTTACACGGTGTTCAGGATGAGGGATATTTACGGTAAAAACCTAGTAAACGCATGACTGGTTCAATGGTCCTTTGAACTCAGATGTTCTTCCCCAGTACACTAGCTGATATTTACTTTTCAGTTTTCAAATAGCTATCCATGTATTCGGTGAGAGTTTTATAGCTGAGTTCAGGAGAAGATAAGGGGGAGGGTGGGATGTTTTATCACTCTTACCCAGAAAAAAAAGTACACCATTGACTTTTAAATTAAATCATATTTTTAAGGTAAGTGTGGCAAGCCTTGACTACTCGTCGGTTTTAAGTTTCATCTTCCTCCCATGCTCTGCCCTGTGCTGGGCAGGCATTCACCCACCTGTCTCTGTGTTGGCGCCGGTTGGCAGTCAGGGCCACAGCAATATTTTCCCATGCTTTCCAAACTTCCCCTTGGCCTGGACTTTCACAGCCCAGCTGATGCCAACATTCATCAAACACTGCTTTCCACTTCTCATCAGCCGGCACGGCCAGATTTCCTAGTTTCCTGCTATAAAAAGTCATACCACACTTTTATTAATCACCTTTTTTTGTGCAAAAATCCTAAAAAGAAACTAATACACAATTGGGAGTGCTTCTGTGACAAAACTGCCTAGATTTGATGTGGTTCTATTTTAAAAACGCTGAATAAAAATTGTAAAGAGATGGGTTTTAACTACTTAATGTTCATCAGACACTAAAGTCTATGAATTGTTAAGTACAAAGCACTCAGAATGGATTCCTTTGCTTTCTCCATTTACACAGAGTTGATTTTGTAAAGTTGATTCTTGTTAAAACAAGGACTTTCTGTACTTTGCTCAACTCATGATAGGAATGGTGAAATGCGTGGAATACTGGGTTCTAATAATACTCTAAGAATAAACATGTATCAAGTTCCCATCAGAACAAAGAATCTGAGATGCTACCAAAATACAGAAACAAAGCTAAAGCTGGAATCAATAAAGGAAAATATACACATGCCAAAAACTTGTCAGGAGAACATAATATAACTTAGAGACTTAGATTTTAACTTTCTTTTCCATGTGTGCAGAGTATACTATTTCACTTGTTATATGTATACATGCCTGATCTTTATTTTCCAAATCAAATTGTGTAAGGGTTTCCTTTAAGAATGCCCTCTCTTAATCAACTTGGACACCTGCACCATTACCAGTAGTATTATTCCCACATACAGAACTTTTATTTTAAACTTCAGTGCTCTAAGGCTTTAATCTAAACCAAGGCTTTAGATTTAGCTATCCATAGTAGTGTCAGTTGACAATGCAAGGTTATACTTTGTTAAAAAAAAAAAAAGAAACCTTCAAAAACTTGTTCTACATTTAAAATATTAACCAGCTTTGATAAAAGCAAGACAACTCAAAACATTCATAATTAATCCAGAATTAACATTAATTACTCACAAAACTTTGGGTTTGTCTTTATCAGTCTCGTACAGACTAGGCTTGAAGTAAGTTCCAGTGATTTTTATGCCAGATCCCCATTCTCCACTAAAATAACCTTCAATGTAATCTCCATTTGGCATAGTCAGTGTTCCCTGGGTAAAGTTAGAGAAGATGTGGAATTAGAAAAAGTATTTTCAATTTAAAAAATCAAGAGAAAAAACAGCACCAAATGGTTAACATTTCCCTTTTTAACTTACTCTTTACCAACCCCCAATTCTTTTCTTTTAGTTGTGTGTATATGCATGTGCAAAAAGAGTATGTGAAAATAAACCCTGTTAAAAAAACACTCACAGAAAAAAATTGGTAAAATATTTTGAGCTGAATGAAAAGAACACACAATCTATACAAATGCATGGGGCGCTGCCAAAAGAGTGCTGAGGCAAATTTATAGCATGTGAAAATATGCTCTAATGACATATAACATCATTAGTCTTAAGAGAAATGCAAGTTAAAGTCACAAGATAACACTTCATATCCACTAGAATGGCAAAAAAGGGAAAAAAAGCAGAAAATAAAAAATACTAACAAAGACATGGAGAAATTAGAACCCTCATACAATGATGGGGGGAATACAGAATGCTGTAGCCACTTGGGAAAACAATTTGGCAATTTCATAATATGTTAATTATCAATTTACCATACAACTCAGCAATTACACTCATAGGCATCTACCCAAGAGAAATAAAAACATATGTTTACACTAAAATTGGAAATAATAGAATGCCCATTAACTGGTGAAGAAAGAGATAAACAAAATGTGGTTTTGGAATACTATTCAGCAATAAAAAGGAATGAAGTACTGTATGTGCCTGGGTTGCAGGTTTGATCCCCAACCACAATCGGGGTACATGCGGGAGGCAACTGATCAATGTGCCTCTCTCATATCAATGTTTGAGGGAAAACCTCAAAAACACTGTGCTATTAAGAACCCACACAGAAGAGACCACGAGTGGTATGATCCTATTTATATGCAGGCAAACTTATAGAATAAGAGAGTCCACTAGAGGTTCTTTGGGGTGGGTTAGAAATGAGGGGTGACTTCAGATGGGCAGGAGATGGTCATGAAAATGCTCCAAAACTGGATTGTGGTGATTGTTGTACAACTCTTACTAAAAATCATTGAAACAGGTGAATTTTATGAAGTTAGCCTTTTAAAAAAGTCAAGGAAAATGAGTAGCACTGTATTAGAGAGAGAGAAGGAAGTTAGTTTCCAACCTTTCCATTAAGAGTCCAGTCATCCGAAAATTCTCCCTCATAGATCGTATCATCTTCAGAAAGCAAAACCCCATTTCCCTAGGTAAAGAAACAAGACAAAAATCACAATACATAAAATGCAGATAACTTGGGAGTACATGCAGTCATATTCCCTAAAGCCTTACATGCTTTTAAAGACAAGAAAAATAGTACTAAGAAGGTAGAATGTTAATAAATAATTTTAAAAGTTAACAATATAGGAGTTTAAAAAAGTCAATAGTAACTATGTGTAAATATTCCACTCACCATCATTTTATTAAGGTGAAAGTTGCCTTCATAGTATAATCCAAACTGGGTAACTACCACACCATTCCCTTGACATACATCATCTTGCCACATTCCCATGTACTTTTCACCCCTTCATAGAAAGAGAAATGAAAAATCAATGATGATAAAGATGAGGTGGGAAAAAACAATCATCACATGAAAGATACCAAGCATCACCCTAGGTGTTCAATTTTTCTAGTTCAAGTGGTTAATTCCATCGCCTCAAACATGAGACCATGCGATAGCAAAAGGCATCTTCCTCAGAGCAATGTTCTTTCAGGGATTAACTATTAGTCCACCTGACATAGATCTGCTTCTACTCCACGGACATCCACGATAACTTTAAAAATATATAACTATTCAAAATGTGATAGGCAAACTCAAACCTGCGCAGCTTTTTATTACCCAAAAGTTTAGTAACCAAAAAAAGAGAGAGAAAAAAGAAATGAGGTTTATCATACAAGAAGGCTCATGCTTCACCTACTCAAACTTAGAGAAATCTTACTAATCTCCACTAAAAAGACAAAATAAGTACAAACTCCTTGTTAAATACGTATGGATTTTAGGAATAACAGCAAACTTTCTTTTTGTTAATCCTCACCCCAGGCTATTTTTTCCATTGATTTTTTTTTAGAGTGTGGAAGGGAAGGGGAATGGATGGAAGAGAGAGAGAGACATCAATGTGAGAGAGGTACATTAATCAGTTGCCTCTCACACGTGCCCTGACCAGGGTTGGGGATCAAACCCACAACCCAGGCATATGCCCTTGACTGGGAATTGAACTTGCAACCTATTGGTCACAGGCTGACACTCTAACCACTGAGCAACTGGCCAGGGCAACAGCACGTTTTTTAAAAATTTCACATTATGACAACAACATCAAGGGAAAAAGAGTACATAATTAAGTCCAAAGACAAATCAGGCCAAGTCAAATACAATGTCAAAAGAACTGCGCACCACCCCAAGGTTTACATGAATTTAACGAAGTTTGATATCTGGGTTGTGGCATGGTGACAAGTATCTGGCCTGAGAGGAAGACCTGAGCAAAAGGTACTTAGATACCATGCTAGGACTGCAAATGGAATTTCCCCTCTAACTTTTTACCTCTATTATCTACTAATTTCATTAAAGGTTTTTCTTTGCATAATAGTTAATGATTTGGTAGCCTCTTTGAGACACTAAAAGCTTTTCATGTGTGAAGCCTTAAGAAAAATGGTACCAATGTTAATTTTGAATGACCCTGACAATATAAAGAAGTAACCGATACTTTGGTTCACAAATAAATGAATAAAATGATGTCTGACAAGTCTTCTTATTAAAATTTTTCTCAACACTGTCGAATTAAGACACTTAGCCTTCATAAATCATCACTGTTTTTGGAGAAATACTTTGAGATTAGAAGCAGAATACTGTACCTTGTGATATCATCAAAGACACCATATCCTGATTTCTTATCCATTACCCACTGACCAATGAACATGCTGGGAGAAGAGGAAGTCAATTTTCCACTTCGTAGCAGACCATGACCATGACGCATGTTATCTTGAAAACAACCTTCAAACACTTCACCAGAGGCATAACTGTGGTTAAAAGGGATGGATAAACATCACATCACATTTAATTTTGATGGTTATTTTTGCAAAGTTAGGAAACTTAAAAGTATATTCATGTCTTACTGGTATTTATACCAATTTAGTTATATGATTATTTTTTACCAATCAAATCTTATTTCCAATAGGAAAATGAAATGAGTGATCTCTGAAAGAATGATAAGATTTGTCCATGCCGAAACCGGTTTGGCTCGGTGGATAGAGCGTTGGCCTGCGGACTGAGGGGTCCCAGGTTCGATTCCGGTCGAGGGCATGTACCTGGGTTGCCGGCACATCCCCAGTGGGAGATGTGCAGGAGGCAGCTGATCGATGTTTCTCTCATCGATGTTTCTAACTCTCTATCTCTCTCCCTTCCTCTCTGTGAAAAAGTCAATAAAATATATTTAAAAAAAATAAAAATAATAAAAAAAAAAGAAAAAAGATTTGTCCATATTAGAGTCATATAATAAACATAAATTTATAGGCAAGGCATTTAGGAGAGCCTATGAGAAAGTTAGGGCTTATAAAGTTTGTACAGTTTTGTTAAGAACTAAATAAAAACCTAGTATTTTCATCTTGTGATAGATGATAGGCTGAACTTTTTAAAAAATACTTTACACAGTTTCAGACATAAGAGCAAAGAAAATTTACTCCTTGAAAATTCTGGCTACACAAACATTTAAATTTACATAGTTCTTTGAAAAAGTTCTATAACCTTTCCAATGTTATTACCTATAGACTCCTTGACCACACATCTTTCCTTCTTTCCAATGGCCCACATAATGGTCTTCTTTGCTCAGTGCTTTGTTTGGGATTCTGTATTCTCCATACCTGCCAGGAGAATGAAAAACAGCAGATACATGTATGACATAGTCACCTTTTGCATGTAGACACTTGTAAACATTTTAATAAGCAGGAGAGAAGATTTACCAATAGGAGGAAAGGGGTATACGGCGTCTTGGTTTACGCTGTATCTATTACCTAAGCTACTGGGCAAATAGCAAAGGAGTGAGATATCAACCCCAGAGAGGTTAAATGCAGAGAGATTAAATGTTTTATCCCAGGTCCAAGGAAAAACAGAAAACTTGTGTCCTAGGTCTATCACTGCCACTTAGTAGCCACATCATCCTGGATAAGTCCTGGTACCCAGTTCCCTCACTTGTATAATAAGAGGGAGGCGGTATATCAGGTTATCTAAAGCCTCTTCTCATCCTAAAGTTCTAGCAAATAGGAAATTAAAAGACATCACAAAAACTTATCACACACACACAAAATCACCTACCCGATCTATATAATAATATTTAGTAAAATAATTACTTCTCTAACATAATACAAAATAATTCATTGCCATTAATTCATCATGTAAATATATTTAAGGATTAGAAAGCATGACAAGCTCATAAAAAAGTAATGCCATTGAGTACCAATAGGATAATATAGAACTTAGAAGATTTTCCCTTTAGCATATCACAGAAATTAAGATGATTTAAAACAACAGAAAGGAAAATTTCTGTATGTTCTTTGTATACGGGGGGCAGTACTATTCCAAGAGTCTCACCATCAACATTGCCCAAGGTTCTCAGTCTTCACTACCAAGAAGTGGATAGAAAACACAGTTCCTATTTTAACAGGTCATTGATTCGCTCTAGGTAAATCAAGGCTGCATCCTAGATTCCTAGCTTCGTGTTCACACGTCAACATGAGAGCTTAATACCTGGTACGTGTTTCCGGTAAACAAAACAAAAACCGACCACTTGTTTTGAAAACGACTCTGAACACAAAGTAACATAACTTGTGACTGAGGCTGAATTTACCCTCACATTTTACACAATTCTCTTACCCATCTTCCAAGCCATTCCTGAATGTGCCGGAATACATCTTTCCATCTGGCCACTTCAAAACCCCTCTGAAATGCATAGGCAAAGAATAATACATGTCAAGGAATGTCTCAGATAATCATTCCTTCCTCAGTAATCAGACTATCATCCTCACCCCAGGCGTAAATCTTAAACATTTTCACCTTCCATGAGGCTTCCCTGAAAACCAGCGTCCGTCATAGGTTGCATCCTTCAGGCGAGGATCCTTGTAGAAAGTGTATTTAGCACTGCGTGAAATGGGCGGCTCCTGCCTCTGAATGCTGCTGCCACCTCCATAAGGTGGATGATCAGATGCCCCTCTCAAAGCCTGATCCACAGCTTGGCTTATAGCCCGTAGCCACTTAGTCTAGGAGCAAAAAAAAAAAAAGTGTCAATAAGCTTAAGGCAGTAGCTCATCACGCATTGCATTAAGTCCTGCTAGGTGTCCTTGGTGTGAATAATTTTTATGCCTTCTAGTGCTTTTCTTATTGAGTAATACTGACTGGCTCTTGGAATTCACTGCTATATGTTTAAAATTAAATCACATTAAAAAAATCTGTAGCCTTAGTTTAATGAAGATTTATCACATAATTCTAGATCATGAGCCAAACAAGAACCACCTGTATCTTTTTTCTATCATAAGAGACAGGAATATCGAAGTCAAAGATGGAAAGCACATAGCATATTGGACTCACCTTTTCCTGGGGTGTTGATGAAATGAGAGTGAACTGCTCCTCAGGTGTAGTTATCTTTAAGCCATTCCTAAAACATTCACAAGGATAAATACCAGTAGGTATGAGAGCCTGTCATGATGATTTCAGTCCTCCCACACGAAAAGCAACTTGTTTATTTCAAGAGGAGCAGAAGTCAATTAAATGTGAATGCAGCCATGGGCGGGTTTTCCTCCCAGAGTGGGAGAAGGGACACCGTTACTTTGCTCTGTGTTGAATGATGGGGATGTGAGCAACAGAGAAGCCCTCCATCACTTATGATCTGTCAGGACTGTCACAACAGCCGCTTTACTATCTCCGGGCTGGGAGGGGAAGCCTCATTAGGCAGAATGGAGAGGCCTCCTAAGCCGTTTCCACAGCTAAGGGAACAGCCAGGGTAAGAGGAGAGAGTTAGGGCAGAAGGGGGGGTGGGGGCACACTTACACACCACCCGCTTCTTCAGAAAGGGGCTCTGCCCAGATGGTGGCCAAAGGGAAAACATGGTGTGTGGAGAACTGAAACAAAAACATGGAGACACATCTGAGAAAGCCCATGTTCTGTGCTGCATAACCTGTTTCAAATGGCTAAGTCCACATGGTGCCACTATCTCAGCCAAACAGTCCCCATAGCAAGGACCCTGTCACATGGCTGACACTCACTTTCAAGATGTAAACTAAAAAAGCTCCCTGAAATCTGACTCATACTAGAAACGTAAGCTAAGTATTCTCTATCATTCAAGTTTCAGCGAAATCACAACAGATTTTAACACAAACTGATGGTATAATCCTATATAATAAAAGGCTAATACGCAAATAGACTGAACTGCAGAACAACCGAACAACCGATCACTATGACATGCACTGACCACCAGGGTATGCGTGTGGAACATGCGGGCATTGGCCCTGGAGGCATGGTGGGGTGGAGGGCGCCAGACCAAGGCAGGGCGCTGGTCACTGTCATAGGGGTGAGCCTCTGGTGGTTACTGAAAATTCTTTGCTTCTGCGCACTGCGGTCCGCCTGGCACTCACACCTGCTGCCAGCACTTGCCCGCTCACACCCACAGCCAGCACTGGAGCCGCTGCTTGCACCCACTGCCAGTGCCTGGCGCCAGACCCGATCACTCGGCGCCATCAGTACATGGGAGTGGCGATGGTGGGAGCGGGGCTGCCAGCAGACAGGAGACTGGGGGGCCGGGCGGGGTCGTGGACCCTGTGCCTACCTCAGCCTCACGGCTCACAGTTCCTTTCAAGGTGCAGGAATTCATGCACTGGGACCCTAGTTATATAAGCAGAGTACTCCATTTTTCAGTGTTTTTTAAGGTGAGGAATCCAGCCTACCTGGGCGTGGACCAAGGCATCATTAAAGAGAATGAACCAGTTCACAGAGAACCTCCCAGCATGCTGCAGAGATAAGGCTCGGTTACTGCTCTCACACAGCAGTCGGCGCTCTGGCTTCCTTAAGGAATCCTGGAATTAAAAATAAATACAAAATCAAACCACCAAAATTACTTTAATATGCAAAGGGAAAATAAAAAATATACAAAAATACATTTAGGGAAACCTGTTGGTCCTAGCTTAGCTTGGTGTTAAACCTAAATTTAAATGCAATCCAAATATCCCATAAAATTAGCAACCAAAGGAGATGAAAAAGATTGTAACAAACAAAAGAAGGTGAGACACATGTTCAGAGAGGACTCCTAGGAATGAGGAAAGGAGATGTTTAGAACATCCACGGCTGTGGTCCTTCGACCACCCTTGGAAAGGGGTTCATTAAAGCATTCTCACCACAATGAGTGAGGAATGGAGAAAATGATGGCAGCTGTTATGGATATGCCTGCTGTTAGCTGAGGTAATGGCAGTTGGCATGGCCTACTTACCGTCATTTTCCCAGGGAAAGTCTTCCAGAAGCCCAGTGTGTATTCTGCTTCCTTCCTTTTCCTGCCGAGATGGAGAGCAAGACACTCATAACAAGAACTGGAATCCTGCAGTTTCTGGTATTCTGGAGATGTCTAGAGGCCAATATATCAAAGAGGGAAATAATATAAAACAATTGTCCAGAATCTGTAGCCTTCGTGTGGTGCAGATACTTAGTATTAAATTTAGTGAGGAAATCCTGCTGGTATACTAAATGGAGCTGAGCAAAAAGCAGAATGGTTCCAGAAAATTCTGTAACATACAGGTACATAAGAAATAGAGAAATAACTCCAGGGGGAAAGAAACAAACACTGGTAATTATTAGTGAGTAGAGCAGCAGAAAACTCAGGGTAGACTGGGAATTTCAAATGTCTTATTCTCACGTTCCCTCCATTTTGCGTATGTGGGTTATATCTGTTAATATTTACCATATTAGAAGGTACAGTTGAGAAATAAAACTATCTTTAATTTACTTCCAATACAGTAACATTTTATTTTTTTAATATATTTTATTGATTTTTTTACAGAGAGGAAGGGAGAGGGATAGAGAGTTAGAAACATCAATGAGAGAGAAACATCAGTCAGCTGCCTCCTGCACACCCCGACCGGGGATGTGCCCGCAACCAAGTTACATGCCCTTGACCAGAATCGAACCTGGAACCCTTCAGTCTACAGGCCAACGCTCTATCCACTGAGCCAAACCGGTCAGGGCAGTAACATTTTATTTTTACTTTTTTATTTATTCCAGAGAGGAAGGGAGAGGGAGAGAGAGATAGAAACATCAATGATGAGAATCTTTGATCGGCTGCCTCCTGCACACCCCACATTGGGGATCGAGCCTGTAACCCAGGCATGTGCCCTGACTGGGAATCGAACTGTGACCTCTTGGTTCGTAGGTCGATGCTCAACAATTGAGCCATGCTGGCTGGGCAATACAATATTTTAAATAAAAAAATAACAAATTTTCCAAAAAAAAAAAAAATTTTTTTAGTGAGAAAAGTGGCATTGTTCTACATATTTTCAAATTTCTTTATCATCTGGCTTAAAAGATGATAGCTGCTACTGCATTTAATCTTTTACAGTTGAAATATATGAAGAAAATCTTGCTTTATAAAAATATATTGTTGGGAAAGGAAGGAGTATTTTAATAGTCATTTTAAATAATTGTGGATATTCTCCTTTGAAACAGGGTAGAAGAAACAAAAAAGGTATGTGATGATGGAGTCTGTGTTTTTTACATAGAATGTGGACCGTTGAGACTGGAAATAGAACAGTATTACTCTTTTAACAATTCCAAGTTTTCTAGAAGGGAAGGTTTTCAATTAACTGAGGATATACTAAGGTGATATTTGTATCTCATTGGGTTATTTGTGTAGCTCAAATCTTCATTGTTAAAACTAAGCCAGTTTGGGTTAAACTAAAGAAATCACCTACAGGACCCCGGCAGGATCAAATGTAGAAAGCCTACATCAGTTCTTGGTCACTATGGAGACTGAAATCTGTCCAGATAAGGAGACACAGAGTTTAACAAGATTAAACTATAAGGAACCCTGAAGTCATCATGGTTTCTCTAGAGCCCTTAACACAGGAAATGAAATGAAACTGTACATTTCAGTACAACATCAAAGGCGAATGTCTTAGGACCAGTTTTATCATACACCCACATCCTAGAGCAGTGCTAATTTTCTCGGATTCCACCTAACTAATTTTATACAGAAAGTAGACCAGCTAACATATGACAAAATCCTGTAACACTGTGATTTCTCATAGCATATGCCATGGTGACCTAAATACCTGGTATGAATCTACCATGAGTCCAGGACAGGTGGCAACTCCACTGCCTTACAGGTGTGTGTTGTTGATACAGAGAGCCAGGGTTTGAAAGCTCTGTGTTACTTGTACTCAGTATGCACTCAGTAAACTTTAATATCTATTGAATGAATAGCACTCATACTTGGCTCTGTTTCATAACATGAGTACAATTCATCTCAATAACATCCTGAGAGGAAACTGAATCCACCGCAAAGAAAACTAGATTTACCTATAGCTATACATTTTTCTTTCATTTCCCTGAAGAAAAATAAAGTTAATTAAACTATAGCCTAAATATTAAATTAGTGGAATTCCAGGTTGTAGAGTGGCATAATCCAAACAAACAAACAAACAAACAAACAAAAAACAAACAAGCAAACAAACTATGACCCTTGGCTTCCCAAGTGTCCAAAGAGAGTATATATGGGGCTTACCACTTCAAAACAAGTAGCAAGCTTTAGCAAAACTTCTGCATAATTATGAAGTCGTCTAGTTGGCAAGAAAAACAAAGTATTCAGTATTTCTATCAACTGGATGTTTTCATCAGTCACTTCTGATAAATCTTGCAACAGCTCCTGGTTTTTATTTAAGAAATCACTGGAGGTGGAACAAAAAGAGGTTAAGTTCATCATTTTGGTAATGACAATATGCATGATAAGGAATAAAAATATTTCACTAGATTCTACCTTTCTCAGAATGCACATTTTTAGGTGCCATGGAATAGTAGATGATAAATACAATAAAATAAGCCAGATATAATTAAAAGAGTTTCCCTGCCGACAAGATGGAATTTTTTAAAGTATGAAAAGTAGCAAATGGTAGCTATAGTAACTCCATAATAGAGATGATTAATCTCAGACTTGTGCTTCATGTTCTAGGAAATAACTCATGCAACCCACAGTTTCAGGGAATAATTGAAGACCAGCTAACATCATTATCTATTAATTTCTAAGTCAAAAGTCACAGCAAAAGTGGCAAGACTAACTGCTCTAATCAGTTGTGCTAAACAGAAATACTGGAGGAAAAACAAAACTCTTTGCTCCACCAAAATTGGCATGAAATGTTAAAATACTTCTATTTTTTCCTTTTTTTTTTCATTAAGTGTCGGTCACCTAATAAGAGTTTATTACAGGAGAGTATAAAGCTATAGGTACCAGTACTATAACGAACAGGAAATAATAAAGCAAATTCTATGCAAATATTTCAATGCTGAGATCTAAAGCATTTCAAACTTCAGCCAACATTTAATTTTCATACTCAATTTTATATATAAGTTCATTATTAAAAATTTACTGCAAACTTTAATGCTGGTCAGTGCCCACTGAGACTATCCTCACTAGACTAAATGCTTTTATAAAAAAGCAAGAATTCATGTGCCAGAATAATAATTATCTGCCACTTAATGAGCAATTATTATGTGCCAGGCCTGAGTGCTGTACGGGCATTATACTACAATTCTAAGCTACCAGGCCTCAAATAAGACAATGTCACACAAGACTATAAGGCAAGAATGAATCCTTTTATGATCCCTTAGAGAACTATGAAATAAAGAAATGTTAAGTCAGAAACTATGAAATGTTATTGTGGAAAGATGGAAAAATGTGTAATAACTTCCAGGAACCCCAAAGTTCAATGGCACAAACTGGATTCTTTATAACGCAATTAAGAGAGAGTGCCCTGGGGAACTGGCCCAGAGTTTTGTTTGTACTTGGCTTGTGTGGCTGTTTCTGCTTCTGCCTCCACGTTGTGCTGCTGAGATGCCTGAGGACACTCGCTCAAGCTTTTACAAGCGTTCTGCTCTGACCTGCTCTCGAGAGAAGGCCGAATTACCTGGTGAACACATACTCTCTCCGACCATGTTTCTCCTGAATGCCCAGTACCAGACAGAAATGTCCCAACTCCTGTGAACCCCATTAGTTTTCAGGATTTATTTCCTTGCTTATAGACTTTCCCCAAAGGGGCCCTGGTATGCTCTCAGGAAATCTGAACCAGAAATTGCTTAGCTTCTCTTCTCTTGGGTGTTGTTGATCTATTAGTGGCAATACTGCTCTTCCCTTACATGGCTAGGTTTGTACTAGTTACTCAAAAAATAAATATATTAAAGGTAGAAACAACCCAAATGTCCATCAACAGAGGAATGGATCAACAAAATGCAAAATGTATATATACAATGGAATATTATTCAACCATACAATGGAATAAAATTTTGGTATATGCAACATGGATGAGCTCTGAAAACATTATGCTTCAGGAAATAAGCCACACACAGAAGGACAAATATTGTATGATTTCTTATAGAATAGGCAATTCATAGACAGAAAATAGAATATAAGTTACCAGGGGCTGTGGGGAGGGAGAAAAGGTAACTTATTGTTTAATGGGTACAAAGTTTTTGTTGGGGATAATTTAAAATAAGTCTTGTTTGTAGGTAATGGTGATGATTTATAAAACATGGGCCAGAGAAGGGTATAATTAGGAAGGGTAAAATGATAAATATTATGTTATGTATATTTTACAATGATAATAACGATGATTATAAACTCTATATAATGATGAACCCACCAGACTAGCCTGAGGTAAGCAGCTAAGTGATAAACCAGCTAAGTGGTGAGAGCCTGAGCCTTATCATCCAAGATCCACACTGCCATGTGGGCTTGCTAGTTATGCTCCAGGTCAGGGGTGGGCAAACTTTTTGACTCGAGGGCCACAATGGGTTCTTAATCTGGACCCGAGGGCCGGAACAAAAGCATGGATGGAGTGTTTGTGTGAACTAATATAAATTCAAAGTAAACATCATTACATAAAAGGGTACGGTCTTTTTTTTTTTAGTTTTTTTCATTTCAAACGGGACGGATCCAGCCCGCGGGCTGTAGTTTGCCCACGGCTGCTCTAGACTCTAAAGTATAGAGATTCTCAAACTGCTCTTTTAAAATGAATACTTTAAAATAATTTCAAATATCGACTTGATATGAATGATAACTGGAAGGTATCTGCTTACATGGCAGGCTTAGCGAGCAGCTGGAATCCTCCCATAACGAGGAAATGTGTAATAGCTGTACAATACCTTGAGCAAAAAAGAAAACACATGTACATTAGTGTTCAAGTGCATATTACTTCTTCAGAGTTTTCGAACAAGCATGTGGAACAGGTACTTCTTGGCATCTCTCCAAGGAGTTTCAGCATTTTTATGATGTCAACATTCATGAACTATAAAGGACTGAAGAGAAGGGCAGGTTATGTGATAATCACAAAATCAGGGGGGAGGGAAAAAGCCATCTTAGTATAAGATGCTAACATGATAAGAAATTTTCAAAAACACCTAAAGCTATAGGTGTTTATCTGGTAAGATAAATGAATTTATCTGGTAGATAAATGTTAGTAACTTAACAAATCTGAAAAAATATGATTGAACATGGTCCCATGCACCAAGAGGTCCCCAATTTGATTCCTGGTTAGGGCACATGCCCTGGTTGCAGGCTCGATCCCTGGTAGGGAGTGTGCAGGAGGCAGGCAATTGATGTTTCTCTCTCCCTCTCCCTTTCTCTCTCTCTAAAAAAAATCAATAAGAGCATATAAAAAAATGGTTACAATGGTAAAGTTTATGTTACATATATTTTACCACAATTAAAAATAATTTATAAAATTCAAAAATAGCCCAGCCAGTATGGTTCAGTTGGTTGAGCATCATCCCATGTACCAGGAGGTTATGGTTCGATTCCCAGTCAGGGCATGTGCCCGGGTTGAGCGCTTGACCCCCCCAGGGGGGCGTGCAGGAGGTAGCTGAGTGATGTTTCTATCTCTCTCCCTATTCCTTCCTCTCTCTGAAATCAATAAAAAACATATTTAAAAGTAAATAAAAAATTTACTTGCTTCATCTATATGAATAAATTATGTTAAAAAATAGCCCAATGTATCAAAATAAAGACAGCATTTCGAGCATAAATTCTGAAGTATCAGAGAAGAAAAAGAACTGAAATAGACTGCACTAAATATAAGTCAAAAAAGAAAAATTATACTACTAAAAACTGAAACCTTCACACAAACAAAATTTAGCTCAAAAAAGTAAATTGGTTTCAAATTATGTTATTTTCGTGTTTGAAAGATGATGAAGTTAAAAGAATCCAACCAGGGTCTTTTCCTCTCAGACAATAGCTTCAGATATATTATACTTTGCTTAGAATTAAGCTCACATACATCCACTTGCACATATATGCTAAGTCCAAAAGGAAATACACTAAGATTATTAACAATGCTTATTTCTGGGTGGGAGGATTATGGACGACTTAAAATATCTTTTTGACTATCTTTCCTTGCATAGTTGTCAGTAACACACATACATTATCTGTAGTGTAAATAACCCAAACAGAACACCAACAGCACATGAACTCCTGCGCCGTGCTCTGTCCTGACTCTGCACTGCGCTGCCGTGGCTCGGAGCTGCGCACGGAGCCTGGCACTTAGTGGCTATTCAATCAAAGGAGAAAACCTACACTTCAGATGAACAGTAAACACTAACAGACATTAAAATAACACTTAAATCATGTCTCACATCACAATGTCAAACTATAAATTAAGAAAAGTGAGAAGTATTTAAATTTTCAAATACACTTGAGTTAGTTTACTTGAAAACATGAAAAGAGCCTTAGAGAACTATCCTTGGTTTTATTAAAAGAACATCTTTGTTTTAAAGAGAGCTTGGTCTTTAAACCCTCCATTTACACCAGTGGAAAGCAGCCCTTGGAACAGCTCCACATTTGCAATCAGTAATCGGTCTTGAAATAATTTGTTTAGTTACTTATTTCCTTAAAGTTTAGTATAATTTACTTAAGTAAACAAGTTTGTTCTCTAAAGGGAATGTTTATATATTCATATTAATTACAGTACATTTTATGCTAGGATATAGAAGAAAATATAAGAATTGTTTTTAGAGCTTTTTTCCCCTTAGAAAAAAAGTAAAATTTTAGCAATGCAGAACTGTAGTTGTCTTAAGATTAAAATACCACTTTGCAATTTCTATTACCTTATATCACTCTCCCTAATCTAATCTCCTCTGATTAAGGAGCTGTTCTTAGCAGAAAAACCCTGCAGAGGTTGAACATGACACGGGACTGGATACTTGCTCTGTGTAACTATCCAAGAAGAGGCTGGCATGCTTCAGAATGACCAGGCTCCTGGCTTCCTTGACCCCTTGAAGGAAGCTGCTCAGTGAGGCTCCGTGCTGCCCAATCAGGTAACACAGCTTACTGAATCGGCTTGCCACTTCTTGCAACAGCTGGACAGTACTTGCGGTGCCCAAATTTTCTGTAACAAAATGATGACAACATAACCTAAAGATTCAGTTCCTGAGTATCCCCTTAAAATTAGGATTATGAATTTCCCTTTTCTTAAAGTATTCTCAACTGTGGAACCCCAATAATCACAGAGTTAAAGAAAGCAACTTCAGAGGCCACAGAATCCAGTCACTGAGGAACTTGCTCAAGAAACCCTCACAGAGGCCCCACAGATTCTGACTCAGGAGGCAAGGGTTAGGATCCCAGGATGGATATGTTAAAAAGAAACGTTTCTGCAGGTAATTCTGAAGGCTCACCAAATGTGAGAACCACTGAGCTAACCCAACTCTCCTCTCATTTTGAAGATGAGTAATCTGAAGCCAAGAGAAGGGGATTACCTAATTTCACACAACCGGTGAGGGACAGCCAGGAATCAAACCCACTTCTATAGTTACAGCTTGGTTAACATTTCCAACTTTTTGTACCGACTTCTACTCAGCTTATTCTTGGGACAAGCCCAACACTTCAGTACAGAGAGGGCAATCCAAACCCTAGAGGCCACCGGGAGCCTATGTGCTCCTCCCCATCCGGAGCTCCTAGCTTAGGACTTCTCACCGACTGTGAACTGACGAGCAGACCAGGTGAGACCAACACGGAAACTGACCTCACTTGGCAGCTTGTTCTTTCCTTCAGAGCAACCCTGGAAGCCTGCGGCTTCCTCCCCTTGCCACAGTCCTAGGATACTGGGCCCACCCACTGAAGGGGACTTTATAGAGTAGGGGACTCTACTACATTCAAAAAAGCAAAATACCTTTTTAAAAAATAAAAAAAAATGCAGTCTCCAACATACAGAGGAAACACTTAGTTGTTTGAAAAGTAGATGTTTTCCCACTAAAAACAATGAGCAATGATCTATACAAGCCAATGTCACCTCACGGTGGAAAAGCTGATGCACTAACCAGGTAGAATTTAGTACTAGAATATTGGTCTGAATTCTGAGTCCTCAGAGGGGCCCATGGAGTACAGGAGAAAGACAGAGAAAGAAAACTTCCTCTCCATTTTCTGAGTGCAGGGCCGAACCTAGAAAAACTTTGAAATAAGGCCCGGGTGGCTCAGAGGTTGAACATTGACCTATGAACCAGGAGGCCACCGTTTGATTCCCGGTCAGGGCACATGCCCAGGCTGCAGGCTCCATCCCCAGTGTGGGGCATGCAGGAGGCAACCTTTCAATGATTCTTTTTCATCATTGATGTTTCTCTCTCTCTTTCCCCTCCTCTCTGAAATCAATAAAAAATATATATTTTTAAAAAATCAGAGCTAATTAATTCATGCTAATGTGGGATAAGACCCTAGCACTCTTACAGTTATCAACAATTTCAAATGAATCTCTACTTGACATAATTCTAGGAACCATAACAAAATAAGTGTATAATATATCTTAGGGCTGATGGGGCTTGTTTGGAAGTCTAGCTCCTAGGATCAACTTTTCCAAAGCTATTTCTGCTTCTCTGCCACGAATATTTCGAAAGCTCCATTTTCTACATCATAGCAGGAGCTCTGGGAGTGGTAGGATAGGGCAGCGGCAGCTGTGCCACTGAAAATGTGTGGATGGTTTGCAAGGTGTTGACTGCCCATGTACAAAAAGAAGAGAATGGAAAGCAAGGAGTAAACCATAACTCAAATATAGGAAGAACAGGTAAAACAAGAGTGTTCTACTTACCTAAACTGAGAAGAGGCCTGAGAATCTGAGATTTGATGTCACTTAGTTTTGAATAAAACCGTCTTTCCGTAGCAGCCAACTCATGGAGACTGGCAATATACCCCATAATATTCTTGTCCACCAAGGCTAGATAGCTCTCTCTTCCGGCTGCCACTCTGCTTATATATCCAAGCTAAAACACAGGACAAGAAAAGATTAAATATAAGATATAACTTACTAACAGCGATTTGGACACTGCAGCTGGCTTATATCAGCTGGGGAGAAGCCAACTGGCAAATATTCAGGAATTTTGAAAGTTGATAATGAAACCACTGGTAGCTTGAAATAGGCAATAAAAAAATTATAAACAAAAATGGCAAAGACTACAGGAGCAGGGCTTTTTGGTTTTGTTTTGATGTTAATTATAGAGATGGTTTACCAGTACACCAAAGCTATATATGTATATCTGTACCTATAACTAACTACATACACTATACTTTATTGCCAAAAACCCTTTTAATTCATATTGTATGTGTTTAGTACCACAGACACACACCCTGAATATACAAAGATCCAGATGATGTAGATAGGACTCCTTTTTGATAAAATAGGATAAATGAGAGCAAAGAAGATTCTGTGTTATAGACCAAAATAACAAAGGTCTGGGAGTTATTTGCCTTTTAAAAGTACTTTACCACATAAAGGGATTTTATTTTAAAATGTACTTCTTTCATTTATTCATGACACCACTGAATAAAAACATTCAATGCCTTTATTCACATATGCCTATTAAACTAGGTAACAAAGCTGCAGACCCAACAGACTATTAAAATCCCATTGTAACTAAAGAAATATATTAGAGCCTCATCCTTTTCATCAGGACATTTCATCCTTTATCTGGACTGTGGCATCCTGGGTGGGGAATGTGGAACCAGGGCCAACAACCACAAACAGTCAATTAGTGTGTCTGGAGTAACAGGCTATATATAGGTTAAGAGCCAAATCTCAGCCAGTGTTGCCTTCAGCAAGAAAGATCTTGTCCAGGTACATTCACGGCTCATATATATAGCCAGAAGAACACCAAGGATAAGAAACAGGCCATAAGATATATTATTCAATAAGAATAAGAAATCCAGAATGAACTAGCTTTGAGGGTTAATTTCCTTGAGGCATATAACTTAAAGGATGTGAGTTACCTTAGCGGGGACAAGGGAGGAACACATCAGAAAAAGGCCAATGATTTAAGTTTATGAAAAAGAATTAGAAAGTAGGAAAGCAAAGAAATTCAGATCAACAAATGAAAAAGGGATAAACAGTAGTACATAAACTGAAAAGCTAAGAGAAACAGGGCACTGTGGTGGCCTCTCAGGCTCCTGGGATTTTTACTGCCCACTTAGTTAAAAATTCATCTCTAATTCACCCCTGAGAGATCCACAAATGCAGTCAAGAAACTTCACTGCAAAGTGTACTTTTTAATATTCCTACATAAAGGTGTTAATTCAACAAACAAAGTATTTACTATGAGGATTCAGCACTACATAAAGAAATCCAAAAATCCCCACTCTTATGAATCTTACAGATAAGGAGGACAGACAATAGACACATAAATAAGTTAAATCGTGTATGAGACGGTGATATGCACTGTGGAAATAAGTCAGGGAAGGAGATAAGGAGTGAAGGAGAGGATGGGAAGGGCTTGCACAGTAGTGTAACACAGTAGTCAAAGATACTTAGTAACAGGCATATGCACAAATGACAAAGACAAAGCATTTCTGGTGTGTTACAGAATGTGGGCCTTAGGATCCAAGTCCTGTTCACCTTACTACAGGAGAGAAGTACTGGAGCCTTAGTACCACTGGGATTCTCTGGAAGGTTGTCACCTTCTGTAAGGTCCTGCCGGCCACTGTAATACAACCCAGGCTGGAAGTCTTCTGTGTCCACTAAAAACAGGGAATAATCCTGGCCTGCAGCTACACTCCAGACTCCACTGTCACCCTTTACCTGCAATGACAGCAAGATATCGTCAGTCCAAGATGAAGGAATGAGACAGAACTTCAGCACCACAGGAACTGAAATATTAGGTTACTTATCAAGTGTGGTGCAAAGTCAGTCATATCTCAAAGGGCAAATTTTCCCAGCAATGTACTCACCCAAATGCAGAACAAACAGGGGAAAGAAGGAATCCTTTGTTAGTTTTAAGTTTAAAATTGGATTGTTTTTTATAACTTAGAATTCGGGAATAAGTTGCTATAGAAGTTATCAAGTTCACAAAAGTACCTTTGCAAGACGAGGAACAGTTGTTGGAAAATCAGAATGCCCAAGTTGGCCAAAGGTATTGCTACCCCATGAGTAAACCTATTAGAAAACCACAGGAAAGTAGGTAAGAGTTTTGAATCTAACTTTGCATGTCAATTCTGAGTCTTTAACACATATATATTTATTGTGTGTGTGTGTGTATATATATATATACATATATATATATAGTTACACATAAATTACTTATACTAGTCTTTCCACAAATTACTTTTACTAGTCTTTCTACTCTTTAAAATAACAGATATTAAGAAAATTCATTTTAAAAGGACCAGAGATAATGGGCAGACAGCGTAGTTTAACAATATTTTATGTGGCTAATTCTTATCCTTCCTTTATGTTCATTTTCAGAATTCATATGGCTCACCGCCTATGCTTACTCTCCCAGAATACTTTTGGGATCATTTTATCAAGTTGCAAATATTATATTGGAATATTTGGGAGACTGTATTGAATTTACACTGTCCTCATTTAATGATCTAGGGAGAAATGGCATTTGTGCAACATTGTCTCTTCTCATCTAAAAGTGAAACCTCTCTTCCTTTACTACTATTTTCTTTTATGACCTACTAGAGGCCTGGTGCACGAAATTCATGCACTCGGGGGGTGCGGAGAGGGGCTTGCCCCTCAGCCCACACTGTGCCCTCTCACAGTCCGGGAGCCCCTGGGAGATGTCTAACTGACAGCTTAGGGCCGCTCCCTGGCAGTTGGATATCCTTAGTGCTGCTGCAGAGGTAGGAGAAGCTCCCGTCACCGCTGCTGGGCTCAACAGTCTGCCCCCTGGTGGTCAGTGAGCATCAGCGACTGGTCGTTCCTCCATTTGGTCAATTTGCATATTAGCCTTTTATTATATAGGATTAGAAGAGTTCTTGAGTTTGTTCCATATAGGCTCTACACATTTCCTATTAAGACTATTCCTACTGCCTTAATATTTTGCTTTAACTGTGAATAGATTCTTTTTTTTCTGTGGTATGATTTCTGCTTTACTTTATGTATATAAGAAGGCTAACAATTATGTTTATTTTGTAATTGACCATATTCCTAATCTCTTATTTTTAAGCCTATTTCATCATGTTAATAGTAAATTATCCTTTTCTTTCCTAATATTTATAGTTATTTATATGGGCTATGTTAGTTTTTTTGGCTAGCCTGCTATGTGAAATTTAAAATAAAGTATTTGATGGATTTAGAAGCCTTCGTTAATTTTTTCATGAAAAATCATTACAGGCAGTCCTCAGGTTACATCAGACTCAACGTACATCATTTCGTAGTTAGGGTCGCCATCTCCCATTTACAGTATTTATATATAAAAAAAAGTTCCGTCATTTCTACATATGTACATATGTGCTTTATGTTTTTTATTATTTATTTACCACAAGTAAAGGTCAGAATTGTTATCTTTCTTTTAAAGTTTTTTTACTGTTTCACTTCATTGCTGCTGTGTATGTGCTCCACGTGAGTGACGTCGGTGCTTATGTAGGTGGGTTCCGACTTACGGCGAGCGATACGTCGCGCCGTAGGAACAGATCTCCGACGTAAGCCGAGGACCTACTGTTTATGTATATATTTAAGAATAGCTTAAAACAACTACTTTTATTAGGACGGTTATGTATATGGTCCTGGCTTTAAGTGCTTCTGGAGGTCAATTTCAGGTCCCATGATTTTAACAGAGAAAAACGCCTTTGTTTTCTTAGCGTCTTATGTATGGAAATTCACCAATACCCTGGAAAATTCCAAGTTCTGTTTTTACATGAGAGCACATTATAGAAAGATTCTTTGACAGGTAGACCTTAATCCAGACTCTACTATCACATGTGTGACTTTAGACAAGTTATGTAATTTCTCGAAGCCCCCCTTCCCCATCTGTAAAATGACAATAATGCAATGCAATTTAAAACACTGGAAAGATCAAGTGAGATATGGGATTGTTGCTTGACACATAGCAGATACTCAAGAAATAATGGTCCAACCTTGTCATGCTGGTCTTCCATGAAATTAAGATCAGCTTGTTTTAGTTTGCCACCTACCTGGGACTTCGCACTAAGTGCAAGGGAATGGTAGCCACCTGCCTCCAGGTGAATTATTTCTTTACCATCCAGACATTTTACACACAATGGTTGAAGCCTTAAAGAAAAACATACACACACAAACTCAAAAAAAAATGTATTCTCAGCATGAATCATGACTTTTCTCAAATTATAGAGTAAGTGCTTTTAGGTAATAATAAACATTTCAAAAGAAAACATTGAAATTAAAATGATAGATATATGTTCAACCTATTCCTACATAGAATTTTGGATGGTTTCAACTTAATCTTTGTCTATCAATCACTAATTAATCACCACAATTCAGAACTTATTAAGAATAATCGAACTATTAAATGACTCATACAGTAGAGAGATATTTAGGACACAATGAAATGCAACCAGAGAGGGGATTAAGTCTTTTTTTTTTTTTAATATTATAGTTGTCTATATTCTGCTAAGAGTAGACATTAACATTAACTGTTTTAGATAATCATTTCAGTCACACACCTTCACAAATGTCTAACTTGTTAATATCATAAGAGTTCCTCTTAAACAAAACAAGTTTTTCCTTGAGATAGGTAGATAGACATGGCTTAATATTGCAGCTATAGTTGTTCTGGCAGTTGAGAAACACCTTTCAGGTTAAAAAGAATGTTGGGTGTTGTTTTTTTATTGTAAGTTAAAACTTTGAAGCATGCAAGGGTTCCTATGAAATACAACTTTATCCCAAACGTGCCTTTCTGTGTTTCAAGATGAATGTACAGGGTGGGGCAAAAGTAGATTTATAGTTGTGAGTATGTGAGACAGAGTTTATTCTTGTATTAGTATTTATTAATTACTGTATTATTTTCCCATACGAGTAACTGTTAACCTGCTGTGCCCCACCCTATCTATCAGAGACGGATGAAGAGGTATGCCATGGATACTTAAGTCCTTTCTTGTTAGGAACAAATTCAAGACTAAGACAGTTGTTTTTTAAATCAGAGTGAATGGTGCATAACGGTTTCGAGTTAGAGGAGACCAGACTGCCTTTATGGGGAAATCAAGATTGAGAAGCCTCGGCAGGCGTCCATTCCTAACAGCAAGCCCTGGCAGCACTCACCTGGGCAGGACGTCGCCATGCCCCAGCTGCCCTTCCTTCCCTTTGCCCCAGGTCCACACCTCTGTTCTCAGGGAAGGCAGGAGCGCATCTGCTTCTCCGCTGTATGTCGGGGTCAGAACCACTGTCCGTTTTTTCACCCGTGCAGCCTTTCTTAGCAGCCTGGGGGACACTGAAAACAAACCAGAGATGGGGTGAGGGTGTAAATGGGGGATCGGGAAGGGCGAGAGATCATTTTGATAAACTGCTGATTTTCAAAGAAATACACTAACATGGTTTTGTGAAGCATATTCACTAGGCTCTGCAAAAATGGGGATTTAATAGTCAAATGAGTTTGGCAAATGCTGCCTACTGCATTCTATCCTCCTGCTGCGGCCCTCTCACGCTTACATTAGCATGAAAAGGGGCTGACAAGTCCTGTGATTAAAAGCCCTGCTTAAATCAGTCTAACCCTGGCCCCCTTCCAAACATTTGCCCATAGAACCCTCTTCTGTATAACAAAAATCAATATTCCACATCTGCGATTTAAAGAGATCTCAACTATACAATGCAAAGGACATTTAATAAGAAGAAAAATTTGGCACAAAATTCTCCTTCAGTTTTAATACGACTTATTCATGGGTTTTCTTTACACACACACTAAAATTAGCCAAGACCGAGGGTTTTACTTGCACAGATGAAAATTCAGGGCAGTGAGCATGAGGAGGCAAGATAACAGAAGTGCTCAATGGTCCAAGAAAGTGTAATGAACAAGTAGAGCAAGTGTAGGGAACAGCGGAAGGGCAGGAAAGGCAATTTATTCT